TATATATATATATATATATATATATATATAAATTGAATTTTGGGAAACTTTAACAGTGCTGTCAACTTTGGAAAAAGTTATCCCAATTTACTGTGTTGAGTTGGCACTGTACAGAAATAGACAGCATATTGGTCTAGAAATGTTAATTTTTTAAATTTTAATGTTTTATTTTTATTTTTCCATTTGTACTGGGTAACGCATTGTACTAAATATGTAAGGTCATATCTACGTGGGCTTTATTACAGAAACTAATAAAGTATTCTCTACATAATGAAAAAAGAGTAAGATAAGACTATAAGAGCAAGAAGCAATTTAAATATGTTGAGACCATTTTTATCTTCAGAATTAAGGATTATTTTAATCTTACATCATTGCCTTTTCTCTTTTACTTTCCTTTTTAGTTTTATTTTAGGATTCCCTATTTTTAATGTTCATACAGAGATTTCTTTAAGTGAAATACCAAATAGTTTCTCTGGTGTGAAAAACTACAATAGTACACAGGATCCTAATGAGATAATTAATAATGTGAAATAGGAAGTAAAGGGCTAACGGTGTAGGGAAAGTGGGAAGGGTGGGGGAAAAGTAATAAGGGAGAGGAAAAAAATATGAGAAACTGAAAAAATCAAAATAAAGTATTTGTAAATGGGGAGGGGAGGAGGGGGTGAAGGGGGCAGGGACAAGGGGAAAAAATGAGAATCAAGACCTACTATGTAAAGGTACAGGACCCCAATGATGAATGTAACTGTATTGTATACCTAGATTGTACCAATAAACTCAATAAAAAGAAAAAAAAAATTGAGCCCCATACAACATACCTTCTCATTACTTGCTTCTTCCAGTCAGCTACATATGTTACTCAGGCTATTAAATATTCTTCTATACTATCACTTTAAAGTAAATAAGGTATTGTTTTATGAATGTATTATAATTGTTTTTGCTGGCTTTTGGGTTGCTGGCAATTTTTCCTTGTTATAAATAATACTATAATGACTGATTATTTACCCTAAACTATCGAAAATGACAATTCTAGAAAATGGTATCATTTGCTTTACCAAAGCATTTATTAAGGTTGAATCTATTACTAATTGATTCTGCGATTTTCTTTGTATGTATTTTGAATAGCTATTTCTTCCCTCCAATGATTACCTGTTTTCTTTTTTTTTGTTTTCTTTTCAAACAAATTTTATTGGTATATGCTTATGATACACAGTAATTATATTTATCTTGGGGAATTGGTACATACACATATTGCATCTTAATCACCTTTACCTCCCCTTCTCCTCCCAGCCTCTCTCCGCTCCCCCTATCCTCAGATCCCCTTCCCGCCTCCACAAAGTCCATCTCCCTGTTTTCTATCATCTCTTCTTCATACACTACCTGGCTCCCATGCTGGTCTTTTCCACCTGGATTGGGCCCTGCCTTCAGTACTGTCCCTCTGCAACTAGCAGACCCTTCTCAGTCACAAATACCATTCACCACCCTGTGCCTGAAAAGCACGTAACCACGGGTCCATGGGCGGCCAAGTCCTGATGGGCAGGGGCCTCTCTGACTCTGCAGCAAGCTTGCCTAGGACATGTGTGTGCCCCTTTCCCCTTCCCTCATCACTCTTGTTATACTGAGGGCAGCGCACAGGTTTCTTCTGACTTCAAGCTCCCCCTCATGAGCACAGTTTATGGCACAGGGATATCTTTGGTGAGATGCCTGTTGAATTAAGACATTTCCAGAAAGAAATGAGGAAAGTGATATTCTAGAAAGGGGAAACTGAGTCAAGCCAGGTGTGAAAATGCTCACTTGGCTATAAAGGAAGATGGGGGCTCCAATAGGCTGTATGGATCCCATCACTGGTGAAAGGAAAGCAGGAAGTGCAGGTGGGAAAGGTGGGTCACAGCAGGATCAGGCCGCACTGTTCAGTAACACTGTGTGCAATGGATGTTATTCTATAGGTGTTATGTCCCTGCTTAAAAAAAATTCCTGAGCAGGATAATAAGATGAGAATGAAGAGGTTGAAAATGAATAGAATAAAGAAAATGAGAGAAAAGCACAACACAAAACAGAATAAGGCAATACAGTGAGGGGAAGTCCAGCAAATAACATGCATCATTCCTCACTTTTGTCCTCATCGTAATGGTGTGTGGCTGCGACTACTGCTGTTATCCTGCACTCCGAAGAGGAAACTCAGTCCGAGCATAGGCTTAACTTGTGAGATTCCCAGGACCAGATAGCGTAGCGCCAGCCAAACTCCCACGTTCCCAGAGCCCCACGCAACTCAGCCTCACCAGCTACAGATGGGGTCTGGCTGAACCCTGAACTCTGGGAATGGAGGAGGAAGAAGAGTCCAGAGCCCTCTCAGCAGAAGCTGTCACTCTGGTGATGGCACTGACCAAAATGAAGGGTCACTGGATCTCTGGGAAGGGAGAGCACAGAGGTTAGATTCTACATGTGCTGAGTTTGCAACGCATGTGGAACCTGTCCAAGGAGCTTTCCTGCAGGCGATGAGAAAGCCTGGCGAGGGTGGGGCTCCTGGGAAAAGCCCAAGCTGCAGGAGTGATGGGGAAAAGGCCCAGAGGTGTGGTGCAGGACAGGAGCCAGGCTGACTGCAGAGGAAGACGGGCTGGGAATGAAACGGTTTCCTCTCATCTCCAGCCTCCAAGGACACGTACCTGCTTCCGGGCTACAGAGTTTTTCCAAGGCTTTGTCTAGGTCATCTTCAAGGTCCTTTCCACAGTCATATCCCTTAAACTTTATGCTGTCCTCAAAGGTCAAAGTTTCATTTAGTATGTCCGTTGTCTAAAGCAATTCCAAAGTATTTTGTGAGAAATAAGCCATATTTGGGAGAGAGGGTTAAAAAAATGTCATGTGCTCCCAGTAATACTAATAAATAAGATATACAGTGAGTATTTAATATATGCTTATTAAGCAAATCTGTGGTTTTAGAAGTGGAGCAATGTTGGGCTGGGGATTAAGCTCAGCAGCACAGCGCCTGCTGCACTGGTCACAGGACAACATTCAGCAGGTAGGGTTGAGACAGGGCCTCCATCAGTTGCCCAGGCTAGCTTCAAAATCCTGGTCTTCCTGCCTCAGCCTCCTGAGGGGCTGGGATTATAGGCATGTGCCACCAGCCCAGGTACCTTAATTTTATCTAGACTTTCTACCCTTCAATATTATTCTACTTCAGTTCTATCCTACAGAATTCTCACAGTGTTCTGATCCATGTCCTGTGCTGAGTATATAACATAACATTCTGGTTTTTTAGATGGAGGGGGGGTTCTCACTATGTTTTCCAGACTAGTGTCAAACTCCTGGACTCAAGCAATCCTCCTGCCTTGGCCTCTTGAGCATTAGGACTATAGGCATACAACCACATGCGACTTTCTAATATTCTTCACTACATTCATAATACTGTTCCCAAAACCTCATAATCAGTAATTAAATATTGGGAGGGGAGGAGGGGTGAAGGGAGGGCAGGGACAAGGGGAAAGAAATGAGAACCAAGACCTGTCATGTAAAGGTACAAGATCCCAATAATGAATGTAACTGTACTGTATACCTAAAACGTACCAATAAACTCAATGAGGAAAAAAAATAATAAAATAATAAAATACTAGCAGAGTAAGAAAGGATGAACACCCTGGCAGGTAAAACTTTTTGGAGTCCCTTCTTTCTTTTTTTGTTTTTGTTTTTGTTTTTGTTTGTTTGTTTTGCTTTGTTTTTTGAGACAGGGTCTCACTATGTAGTTCAGACTGCCCTGGAACTCACTTTGTAGCCCAGGCTGGTCTCAAACTCATAGCAATCCTCCTGCCTCAACCTCCTGAGTGCTGGAATTATAGGCATGCGCCACCATGCCTGACTCTGGAGTCCCTTCTTTCCTTCAACACAAGCCTCAGCACCTGACATCACAGAAACCCTGTGACATAGCACTCTCAAGATTTGTTTGTTCTGATCTTAAACCCCATAGCTCTGAGGCACATAAATTCTTAGTGGATGAATAGGAGAAAGCACTAAATAACACTCTAATTAAATCATTTATATTATTATTATTATTATTAGCAGTGCTAGGGGTAGAACCCAGGGCCTCATGCATGCTAGACAAGCACACTACCACTGAGCTCTGCCCCAGCCCTCTAACAAAGTCTTTATGTAGCAAAATGTTTGTAAAGTTATGAAATTATGACATAAAAAGCTTCTGGAGATTTTTTGGGGGGAGGAGGTTTTAGTGGTAGGAGATAAATCTAGCCCCTTGTGTATGCTAAGCATGTACTATACCACTGAGCTACATCCCAGTTCCAGATAAGTTTTTTTAAAATTTTGTGTGTGATACTGGAAATTGAATCCAAGATCTTCATAAAGCTATATCCCCAATCCCTTTTTCACTTTTACTTTTGACAGAGGGTTGCACAAAAAGTTTCTAGGTTGCCCAGGCTGGAATCCTCCTGCCTCAGCCTCCCAGAGTACTGTGATTACAAGTGTGTGGTATTGTGCCCAGCTTCAATTAAATTTTAAATTAATTCAGAACAGGAAAGGCTAGGGATTAGTGGTAAATCACTTGCCTAGCATGTCATGTAAAAGGATCAATCAGAAAGACAGAGAGAGAGAAAACATAAAATACTTATCAGGTATGATTATTCATACTTTTAGTGATCTAAAAGGTGAATTCAGAGAAGACACAATAGAAAAAGAAAACAGGTACCAGTTAAATTTTACATTTATTAGCAGGAGACCGATAAAAAATGAGATTTAAAAAAAGATGCTGAACTCAAGCAATAAAATGAAGTTTGGGTTTACCACACATGCATTTATCTCTGGACCAGGAGAATCCAAGTGTGCAAGGAGATTATACCCACAGACACGCACAGTACCTGCTCATATTTTTTAAGGTCTGAAAATTAGATGTTGACTGTGCATCATACTTGGGCAATGATAAAAGGTAAATTTTTGGGCTGGGGATTTAGCTCAATGGTTCCACTGCCGACCTCAAAAGCACAAGGGCCTGAGTTCAATCCCTCGTACCAAAAAAAAAAAAAAAAAGGTAAATTTTTTTCTTTGTTTGGTTGGGTTTGTTTTTGTTTGTTTGTTTGTTTGTTTTAGTTTTTTTGAGAAAGGGTCTCCCTTTGTAGTTTAGACTGACCCTGAACTCACTACATAGACCAGGGGGGCCTCTAACTTATGGTGATCCTCCTGTCTCAGCCTCCTGAGTACTGGCATACAGGTGTGTGCCACCATGCCTGGCTACAAAGGATAAATATTATGAGGAAAATATTCCTTTATAAAAGAAAAAAATGGAATAATCCACCTAAGGAAATAACCTGAATCTCTTTTTAAAAGGAAGAAGAAGCAACATGGTGGTACACACCCATAATCTCAGAATTTGGAAGGATGAAGCAGGATAGTCATGAGTTCAAGGTCAACATGAAGTACATAGCAAGACCCTATCTCAAACAACAAACAAAAAAGGCAGGAAGGAGATAAAAAGAAAAAAGTATTTGAAGACTCATCTGCATACCAGAGACTTTTCTAAGAATACTTATGAAATTCTTTTTTTTTTTTTTAATTTTATTGAGTTTATTGGTACATTTTAGGGATACAGTACAGTTACATTCATTGTTGGGATCATGTACCTCTACATGGCAAGTCTTGATTCTCATTTTTTCCCCTTACCTCTGCCCTCCCTTCACCCCCTCCTCCCCTCCCCATCTACAAACACTTTATTTTCATCTTTTCATTCTCTCACATGAAATTCTTCCTATAATCCATAGATTAATTTCTTGAAGTTTAAAATACACTCTTTTCTCTTACCTACACATGGATTTGCACTATAATGACATACCTCTTCCTCTTGGACAGTGTATCCATCAGATAAACACTCATCTAAATGAATTTCGAACTTTACCCCTCTCTAGAAGAGAGCAAGAAAAACATCTTAGTTCAGCAACTCAATAAGAGCCTTAAAATTTATTTTGATATTGCACAGACTCAAAGTGGCTACTTTAACATCACAAATAGGGCTATTGGCTGTTCTATAAAATAGGAAAATCAGGTAGGAAAGCCAGATTGCAAGGTGTAGTCCCCCAACCAGCTTTCTAACATGGAAGCAAAAGACAAAAATATTTATTACCTTAGCTTTATATTTCTTTTCTGGAATTTCACTTTCCTTTATGTTCTCAAGCCTAATATTTTTCAAGGCTCTTTCAATGTCCTAAGAGTTCAGAGAGAAATACAATTCTATCACGTAATATTGAGCGATTATATTCTTTGAACAATTATATTTTTGAAACCTCTGAATTCATAGCACTGTATATTTACATGATTACTAGATGTAATCTGATGATTGATTTTAACATAGAAACATGCTTTTGTAAAGGAAAGTTAATAACAATTCACTAAAACTTAGGCACAGTAGTCATCAACTTGAAATATTCATGCACGGCATTTCAGGGTTAAAAGTTCTACAGTGTGGCAATGCTCATCCTTCCGGTACAGTCTCATCCAAACCATCCCAGCTCAAGAATGTAACTTTTCAAACCAGGCAAGAGGTGCACACCTGTAATCCCTGCACTCGAGAGTCTGAGGCGGGAGAATCAGTTTGATGCCACCCTGGGCTCCATGTGAGTTCAAGGCCAGTCTGATCTACACAGTAAGACCCTGTCTAAAAAAAAACAGAAAAAAGAAAGAAAGGAAAGAGAGGGTGGAAGGGAAGGGAGCGAGGGAGGAAGAGAGAGAGAGAGAGAGAGAGAGAGAGAGGGAGGGAGGGAGGGAGAGAGAGAAAAGAAAGAAAGAAAGAGAAAGAAAGAAAGAAAGAAAGAAAGAAAGAAAGAAAGAAAGAAAGAAAGAAAGAAAGAAAGAACTTTTCCCAGTGCTATGAATCAAGCTCATGGCTTTGGACATGGCAGACAAGTGCTCTCTACCACACTGGGTTGTATTCCCAGCCCAAGAATGTAAATTTGCGACTTTTGTTTTCCAGATACTAGGGACTGAGCCCTGAACTTCACAATAACTTACAGCCCTAGCCCCCAAATTTTGCCTCATAACTTTTTGTGTTTGCTTTTGAGACAGGATCTTGCTAAGGCACTAAGTGCCCAGGCTGGGCTTAAACTTGCAGTCCTCCTGCTTCAGCCTCCCAGAGTGTGGAAAATGCCATCTTTATGTAATGGCTCGTCAATGGGCATCTTCAGGCTTCACCTTCCTTCTCTTCTGAGTTTTAGACTCACACATCCTGTGCCTATTTAGCACTATGCGCGTGTTTGTGTTTTGTTTTTCTCCTTTGCATTACTGGGGGTTGAATGCAAAGCCATGCACATGCTAGGCAGACACTCCACCACTGAACTGCATCCCAGCCCATTGTTATTTTTTATTTATTTTACATTTTGAGATAGGGACTCGCTAAGCTGCCCAAGTTGGCTGACACTATAGGTTAGCACAGTGAACATGGCCAAAAAACCCTGCTGACATGGAGTCACGTTTCACTAGAGTAGGATAGGGAATGAGCAAGTTCATAAATTGATAGAATTTAAGAAAGAATTATTAAGTGCTATAAAGAAAATAGGGCCAGGCATGGGCTCACACCTGTAATCCCATCACTCAGGAGGCGGAGGCAGGAGGACCGCCATGAGTTTGAAGCCAGCCTGGGCTATATAGTGATTTCAAGATCAGCCTGAACTACATAGTGAGACCCTGTGTCAAAAAAAGAAAGATAAGAAAGAAAGAGAGGGAGGGAGGGAGGAGAGGAGAGGAGAGAAAGAGAGAGAAAGAGGGAAGGAAGGGAAAGAGGAAGGAAGGAAAGGAAGAGAAAGCAAGAGAGAGGGAGAAAGTGAGAGAGAGAAAGAAAAGAAATAGGGTAATGGGATGGAAAATGAGGAGAGGGTGATGCTAATGCAGGCAAGACTATTTGACACTGATTTAAGACTTGGAGACTTCAGGCCTGGCAGAGGGAGATGAGAGCAAGCATTTTCCATGCACAGGGAGGAGCAGGAATATAATCTCCTCCAACCCCACCTTTCCAGAGTGGGACTCTGATTGTTCCAGTGGTTATGGCTGCGTCTAGACGTCCCCCCAAAGTCTCACGCAGTCTTTTTCGAAGTTGGCTGAATCTGGAATGTCTGATGCTAGGATTAATGGCGTGTGATTACTAAATCCCTGAGTGATGGGTTTGGCACCGCCCGGTAATCTGGAGGCAGAAAGGTGCTGTTAAGGTCTCTTGTTGCTTTTGCTGTCTCTTGCTGCCTTGCTGCCTCTCTGCCACCCCGCCTTGGAGCCAGCTGATTATGGACTGAAACCTCTACAAACTGTAAGCCAAATAAACCTTTCCCCTTTGACTTTGGGTGTCAGCGATGACAGGAAAGTAACTAACACACCAGCCTCACAGGAAGTGGACGCTACAGAGACAAGACAGAGTACCAGGGGCCAAAGTTACTCCCGACCTGATACAACCACATCCAATATAAAAGCAATGGCAGTTAACTCATTAGACAGCCAGAATGAAAAATGGGGAGGCCCTGAAAAAGAGGAAACAGGTGAGATGAGTCCTGTAAGTGGCCCAGCCTCTGTTTCCAGAGAGTACACAGGCCTCAGTGTGCGATAGGGAGCCTATCGCTGACCCCTTGAGTGGAGAAGACAGAACAGAGAACTGAGGGACCCTGCGGCGGCTGGAGTTTGAAGGACACGGCCCCAGGAAAGGACAAGTGGCGCGACACAGAGCAGCTCTCCTGCGGTGCTGGTGGGGAGGCGGCACAGGACAGCCACTTAGCAGACCTATCTGGCAGCTTCTTGAACAGTTAAATATATCAGCCAGGTGCTATTTGGGAGGATGAGGAAGAAAGATTCCAAGTTTGGAGCCAGCCTGGGCCATTTACCAAGATCCCATGTTAAAATAAAATAAAAGCGGATAGGGTAGTACACTTGTGTCAGGCCCTGGGTCCGGACACCAGGGGACAAACAGGAGAGCGAACAGGTACAGTGTGATCCTATTTATACACTGCCACTAATAGAAAATGCAGAGTAATCTAATGACGGAAAGCAGATGAGTGGTTGCCTGGGGGGTGATGTGGGAGGAGCAGCAGGAAGAACAGGAGAGAAACTGATACTCAAGGGCCTGAGAGTGACTGGTGAGCAGCTGCCGTGCCTACCTGCACAGGTGCGTCCCCCTCAGGAGCATCTTGGTCAACAGGCAGGGCACTTTTCTTCACCAGATAGGTCTTGTGGCTGATTTTGGAGCTCTCCTTTAACACAAATTATGTGCAGTCCAAAGGTTAGTTCTTCCTAGCTTGTGAAAGCTACTTTCTGTGGCACCTCTGGATTTTCAAGAATCACCTCAACTGCATTCGGATTTTGCCTTGTATCATCTTGCATCACTTCCCAACGGGGATATGTTCTGAAAAATGAGTCATTAGGCTACCGTGTAGGGTGCACTTGGACAAACTGAGATGGCTCTGCTATCACTAAACCGTGTAATCGCACAGAACCATCATCTATGGTCGGTCATTGACCTAAACATTGTTATGCCTCACTTGACCATGTAGACCAGAACCTTATCCACCCATGGTTGAATTCAATAAATTCTAGTCTTTTCCCCACTTTTCATAGGCATTCAGTATAGACACAGTTTGGACTTTCTGTATCCAATTCAAGTCTGGCTTAAACTATCTGCTCAGTTAATACTTACTGATCATGAAGAAGATAAGTATTTTTAACAATTCCCATTCTTGGCTGGGTGGTGGCAGACACCTGTAACCCCAGCACTCTGGGAGACTGAGACAGGGGGATTGCAAATTGGAAGCCCAGCCTGGATAATACAGCAATTTAGCAAGACCCTGCTTCAAAACAAAAAAATTAAAAGGGCCAGGGATGGAGCTTAGTGCAAAGGCCCTGGCCTTAATCCCTAGTAGCACATGTGCACGTGCATGCGCGTGCATGCACGCACACACACACACACACACACACACACACACCACTTCTAACTGAGATTCTCAGAAATCCTCATCATCTTGTGTAATATCCAGGAAACCACAATAAAGTTAAGTTTTTCTGAGGTCTAGTAGCTTTCCTATTACAAAAGAAATTTGCAGTTATTTCTATGATAAAACCTTACTTTTTCCATAAGATCATTACTTTCTTTGTTGGGAACAGTGGGTGCTGGGGATTGTGCCCAAGGTCATGCTGAGCACAATCTACCAGCCACCCTAAGCCAAGCTACTTATGAAGTCATCCCTAAGTTGACAGAACAATGTTTCCTCTGGAAGGGTGAATTACCTCCAACTCTCTCCCCATCTTCTTCCTAATTTCTTGCATGTCATTGTGGTACTGCTGGCGTATTTCCTCTAACTGTTTCCAATATTCCTGAAAAGCAAACCCAATCCAAAACCTTTACATGTTTGCAAACAGCTCAATAAAAATAATCTCTCTATAGCCTGAAATTTTTGTAACGGGCAGTATAAAACAAGCATTAGAAAACCCTGAGTTCTTGAAGACGACCATGTGCTTACTCTCGGCCATGATACTTCACACACTCTGAAGGACACACTGGCTGGGGTACAGGTCTCAGACTCACATATAACCCCAATGTGGTAATAAGGTACAGTTACTTTAAATGTCCCACTTTAACAACAGCTCTGTTATGGCTGAATTTTTTCCCCTCAAAGGATATGTTGGAAGTCCTACCCTCTCTCCTGTGCCTCAAAATGTGCCCTTACTTGGTCATAGGGTCACCACAGATGGAATTGGTTAAGATGAGTTCATACTGGCATACAGTGGTCCCATTTCAATATGACTGGTGCCCTTTTAAGAAGACAGCCAAGTGAAGACAGAGATTTGGGAAAATGCCATGTGACAAAGGCAGAGATTAGTCATACAGCTGCAAGCCAAGGAGGGCCAGTGACTGCCAACAAACAAACAGACGCCAAGAAGAGGCAAAACAGGAACCCCCTATAGGTTTCAGGGCCAATGTGTAGCTGCCAACACACTGGACATCTGGCCTCCAGAACCAGGAGACAAAGTTTTCTGTTGTTTGAAGCCTCCCGGTTTGTGGTACTTTGTTACAGCACCCCTGGGGAACTAATAAAAATCTCAGATAGGTTAATGATGGACAGTTCCCGTACCAATCCAAGGAAAGAGGCATCATGGACACAGCAACGCTGAACTCTCTGAGAAGTGATCTACCTAACTCTGCGTCCCCTGGAACTCTCAGCCGGGGCTTCCCTACAACCTGTCAGGCATGCTATGAAAACAGAAGCAGCGCCTGATCACAGCACAAAGGACAGCAACACAGCCACAAAGGCAGCCCAAGTTACACTGTCTCTAACCTGGTCTTTCATTTCCTTTTTCCTAAACTGCAGCTCCTGCACTCTAGGCTCTTCTCCATGGCTTCTCAGCTCTGTGGTCTGGCTGTGGTTTGGCTCAGCAGAAGATGGACGAAGACCCTAGTTATTGGGTGAAATAATTTATGCAGCATACTTGCATTTTAAAAATGTCTTTAGATTGATCTTGATTTTCTCCTGTAGACAAAAATCATATCACCAAGCAAATCTAGTAGTTGTGATTTTTTTAGGGTAAGTACTGTTTTCTTAAGCATTAAATATTAAATAAAAATTTAAAACTCAATCACAGACTGATTATTCCTCAGAAGTTGGTGTTTTATGGTATCATTTGAGACCCCTGGATTGATATTCTGAATTGGTAGATTATAAATGTGAAATTAAAGCTCTGTTACAGCTTAGCAACCCCAGAGTATGAGATTAATTAAAACAGAGCTAAAGTTCTTAATCAGTTTGAAGAGAGATACAAATGGGATGTGTAGCACTCAGACCCAGAATTCTGACACAGTACTCAAGAGTAAAGATTAACTTTTAATCCAAATAGTAAGATATAACAGACATTTTAAAAATGTGCAGAAGATTCTTCTAAATACAAAATAAATAGAGTCAAAGCACTGTAGCACAGAAAGGATCCTGAAGTTCATCTACTCCAAAATTAACATTTGTAGAAAAGGAAACTGAGGCTCAGAGAGATTCATGAACTATCCAAGGTCACAAAGCAAGTGATAGAGTCAGGGATGAAACTAGGCTAGGCTTCTCGTACTCTGATTCAAGCCTATTCTCACTATTCTTCTTTAGCCTAAAAGAATAAGAAATAGTAGATGGGTAGTCTTCACCTTCTAGTACAAAGAACTTTTTTTAAAAAATCAAATTTTATTGGTATATTTTAGGTATGCAATGTAGTGATATTCATCATTAGAAATTTATACCTTTACATCTTTTTTTTTTTTGGAACCAGGGATTGAATTCGGGACCTTGTGCTTGTGAGGCAGGTGGCAGAACCACTGAGCTAAATCCCTGGCCCTACATCATCTATCTTGTTTCTTATTTTTCCCCATTCCCCTGAAATGAACTTTGATTTAAGGATCCACAAGCCAGGCATTTAGCTCAGTGGTTCTGCCACCTCCCTTGCAAGTGCAAGGACCTGAGTTCCATCCTCGGTACAAAAAAAAAAGGATCCACGAATATCTGTGAACAGAGAAAACTACTAGGAAATTGGCTCCCGTATTTGGTGTTTTACTTACCAATTGCTTTTCTACTTTCAATTTATATTGTTGAGCTTCAAATTTCCTCTGAAGGAACTCCGCAGGCCTTAGGGAATAGGAACATCAGTTTGAGTGCAAATGTTGTTGTGGTTTGTATGTAGATGTCCCCCACCAGGCCTCATGCGCTTGTAGGCGGGGCTTTGGGGAGGTGACCCGACCATGGGTGTGTGACACTCCTCACTGGGGCAGCCCACTGTTTATAGCTGGGTGTGATGTTGGGAGTAAAGCTGTTGGGAAGAGGTGGCTCACTGGGCATGGCCTGGAATGATATGCATCCCGCCACCGGCCTTCATCCTGCCCCGCTTCCTGCCCGCCAGCCAGTTAGTTAAGGTCTCTGGCTCTTAGTTCCTTATCTGTAAAGTGGACACAGCACCATTTCACAGTGGGAAAAAATCAGAGTTTCGAAGGCAACTGGCCAAACCTGTGCAAAATGCCCTTCCTTCATCCGATGGCTTAGAACCAGAGCTCCAGCAGAGAGAATTTGGGTGGGGGACAGAACAATGAGGAGGGAAGAGCTCGGTCATCAGACCTATTCCTGGGATACAGTAGGCTGAGCTACTGTGGGCAGTGACAGTGACAGAAAAGGATTTCACATAACAACTTGGGAGTTAAAATCATATATAACCCAAATAATTGCTTATTTGACAGCTTTCTTATCTGCAGAGTGGAAGACATTTTCCCAGTGGCTGAAAAAGAAGGACTGAGGCTTTGGCTCAGAGGTTCTGCCGCCTGCCTCGCAAGTGCAAAGGCCCAAGTTTAATCACCAGTGCCAAACAAAACAAAACCAATGGCTGAAAAAGGGTTTTGTGGCTGCTTTCAGGTCACATGTAAAATGTATATTACAACTTGAGCTAATGAAACACATAATTTTGATGATCCGGAGGGTAATTTAAAAGCATATCACGATGGATAAAACCATACCTACCAGCAGTACCCAGTATCTTTAAAAATAAAACATCTTCCTTTGCCATCATGGATTTCTAAACAAATTATTCTTTTACCACTCAATTCTAATTTGTATTAAATATTGATGATATTGCCATTGTATAGTCTCTTGTATTTTTTTTTTTACAGTTCACCCAAAATTTTGGTTGCCTAGCATTCATAAAGCCCTGGGTTCTAACCTTACCATCAATCAATCAATCGACCAATAACCAGAGATACCAGAGTTACTGAATTCCCATCCCTCGACAACAGCAACAAATTGATGACAAAATGTTGAAATAAACAATGATATCGCTCAGGGGTAGAGCACTCTGCCTAGCATGTGTGAGGCCCTGGATTGTACCCCAGCACCCCAAAAAACAAAAATATCTCTCAAACAAAGGCCTATGATGGGTATCAACTGTTCTGGATACAAGAGTACTGAAATTAGGGTTAAAAATTGAAAATATTGTAGATCTGCAGAAATTTGTTACAGAGTAAACTTTTTTAAAATCTATAAAAGCAGGGCCAGGGATTTAGCTCAGTGGTTCTGCCTCTTGCTTTGCAAGCACAAAGTCCTGGGTTCAATTCCTGCTACCAAAAAAAAAAAATCTATGAAAACAACTTACAAACACAATCATATTTTGAACTCCCTAGAATATAAATACCAAATGAAATCTATTTCACTTTTCAAAATTTCTCAAATAATCATTATTCTTACTAATAGCCTCTTAGAAAAAATAAATACAACCATTTTAATAATCCCCAAATAGTGGAATTCACTAGGAGGAAGGAAAAAAATATTAAACATTCAAGAGCATGGATCTTGCCTATAGTTAAATGGCTCCATGAATAAGAAGATAAGCTCCAGAAGGGTCAAAATGAAAAAGAGCCAAGGGAACCATGATTTAAGTGTAAGAGCCTGACTGAACCAGAGTGACTCCATGTTGACCAGCAAACAACCTAGAGACTGTCGCTCCCCCCATCCCTTATAGGATAACTAATAATTAATTGTGAATTGTTAGGTAACTGCTCTGAAGTAGCTGGGAAACTAAATGGAAACTGTAGTGAACACAGAGACCCAACACAAATCACGCCACTCCTTACTTGCCTGTAGTTGAATGTTCTGAACATTATAATCTAAGTTGTAAATGGAATAATGGATAATCGATCTGCTGATCATTAGTACGTGACGGTCAAGTATATGCTTGATGACCACTAGCTCAGATCAACTGATTCTTTGCCTTTGTCCTCTTCCTGTAAGTTTTAAGTGTAAACCCCCCACCCTTAGTCCTATACAAAATGGCCTCTGTTTTTGAGCTAGCTGCCTCTCTGAGCTACTTGGCTTGGGGAGTGCTGTCTGGCCAGACTAATAAAGGTCTATTTGCCAACTTGCCTGGTATGTTCCTTCCTGGGTGACTCTCGCTGTCTGACAAGCTCCTGGAGCCTCGCTGAGCTTCTGAGCCCAGCATCGTGGAAGCCTCTTGGCTGTTCACGCTCCAGGAGTAAAAGTGACACTTAAGTCTTACAAAGTATTTTATTAGTTCTTCCTGAATTATTTGTTTAAGGAGAATTTGGAAGGATTTCAGAAAAATGCTGATACAGGAGGCAGGAGAATCATCTGAGCCCAGAAATTCAAGGCAGCCCAGGCAGCACAATTAGACCCTGACCCTCCCCAAACAAACAAACAGAAGGCTGATAATATAAAGATATTTTCAGAGGACCAAAGCTTAGGTTAGACTGGTACATTACCACTGAGCAGGTGATGGGCCATGACTTTCTTCCGTATTGTGACACTCAATTCTAGAGTCTTCCTGAGAAACACAGTGATGACTAGCCTCATGGGCTCTCTTCCTCAAAATGTCAAGTTCAGCATAATAAAAATCATAATGTCCACAAACTGCAGCAAGTTTGGGTCTTCCTATCACTTTTATCTGAGAGAATAAAAAGAATAATACAAATGTATAATTGACAAATTGATAGTAGACATATCTAAGACAAGGCACGAAAGGTATATTTACTGTTTGTTTTTTTTCTTCTCAACATGTTTATAGAGTAAAAGAATCTTCCAGTCACCAAATTCTAGAGTTGAAAAAGACCTTGGAATCTAAGTATTTGTAGTATAGTAGTTTATAATTTTGCCAATGTGTGGATATGACTTATGTACACTTAAAGGTTAGCAGTTGAAAAATATTTCGCTAACTAGTATATCTAGCCAAGTTCAGAAACAAAACTGATAATTATTGTACTTTATGAGAGAATAAGGCTAATATGCAATTCACAAATTTGTGGGTTTGCAACACTCATGGTTTCTGAAAAATCAATGCAAAGTGGTGGAATGGCTTGAAGAAAACAAGCTGCTGAGTCGCTGAGAGCTAGTCTTCCCTAGGAAACACCAGGAAGGACATCTACCACTGGGACAAGCCCATCACCACCTCAAATACTCCTCCTGTTCTTTCTAATCAGAATGAGAAGAGAAGCAGCAACCCAAGTTTATCTTATCTTAAACCAGGGCAGAGGTCAATAAACTAAAAGATAAGAGCTAGCAGATTAAGACAAGAAAGCCAATCAAGATTTTAGAGCAAAATGTGGTCAATTTCACATGAAATTTGACACCTGTGCCTATTTAACAGTTGTTAATAAAAGAGGAAAAAAGATCAAACTGATAGAAAGGCCTAAATTGGGAATATGAACAAATGATTAAAATTTACAAAGAAAAACATGTCATATTTTTTGTTCTTGCCTCACATACATATTAGATTAAACCATATAGAATTGTGGACACTTGATCATCTTTAACTTACAAAACTAATACATGAGCATAAATTTTACTTTGAAAATTTTTAGAGAAGTGGTTTTCTTCCTTTTACAATTTTACCAGTAGTACTGATCAGTTGTTGAAAATGGCTAGAAATAGAGAAAAACACGAGAAGGAAATGAACAACAATGTCTAAGATTTCCTCTAAAACCTCCGTCAGTAATGAGAACATTTCCTGCGGAGACCCATTAATTTCACTGCATCAGCAGTTGTTGATGAGAAAAGATGTCAGCCTGACAATTCTATTTTAACCCATCCTTCAATTTGTTACATGTTTTCTCTCCTACAGGTCATATACAGTCCTCTGTATCACAACACACTTTTAAAATTTTCTTGGGGCTGGGGATTTAGCCCAGTGGTTCTGCTGCCTGCCTCACAAGCACAAGGTCCTGAGTTCAATTCTCGGTTCCAAATAAATAAATTAATTAATTAATTAAAATTAAAACTTCTTTAATAAAAGTAATATATATTTTATCGAATGAAGAGTGAAGGAATCTAACTGTTGCCATAGTAGGCTGCCAGAGACCACTTTAAGCCACTTCCATCCTGCTGTGCTTTCATACCTGCTAAAGCTGTATGCATTATCATGGGTTAATAAGACCCAGTAACCATGGCTACGCCCCATAACTCCCATCATTCTTCAACCCTGCTCCTGTCCCTTCTCAAGCGTTGTTCCTGTCAAGTGGCCCAACTCCTTTTCACAGAACTTTCCCCCTCGAAAGTCCCATTCTGACCTTTTCCTTTCACAGCCCTTCTTCATGCTCAGGACCCTATGAAAGACCTTATATCCTGTTTGAGAGTTACTGCTCTGGTCTAATGCCATGGCAGTCCCTCTCAGGTTTGTTCTGAAATGAACCTGTTCTGACTGGTGAACTCATACTTTTGTTTTTTTCCTCCTTTTTTCCTAACAAAGGGCAATAAATTAACCAAAAAACTCAATAATCTGTTTATGTACCAACACGTTTTTAGGATGTTTGTATATTGAACAAATATTTAATAAATGTGCTTCCAAAATGTTCCTCTATACCAGTGATGGTGAAACTTTTAGACCTTCCAATGAAAACAAACAGCCCACTGCAGCACATGTCCCATAGGACACCACTGCTATGAGCTTTCTTTAAGGAGGGCTTTCTTTTTGGAGGGCTGGGATATATATATATAGGTCAATGGTAGAGTGCTTGCCTAGCATGAGACAGGCCCTAAATTTGATCCCCAGCAGCTCAAAAAAGGAAAAAGGAATGGCCACTTTATCATTTGTATATCAGAAGCATTTCATTAGCATGACCTAAAAGATCTAACATTCTATTAAGGTGGATTCAAATAATAATGTATAAAGAAAACCTAGGTGGCCAGGCACGGTGGTGCACACTTGCAATCCCCTGCTACTTTGGAGGCTGAGGCAAGAGGATAACAAGCCAAGCCCAGCCTAGGCAATTTAGCAAGACCCGGTCTCAAAATCAAATGCAAAAGGGCTAGGAATGTAACTCAGAACTCCCTGATTTCAATCCCCTGTACTGGGCAAAACAAAACAAGGCAAACATGCAAACAAACCAAAAACATAGGGAAAGGTCAATTACTATATAATAAAAACTTCTCACATTCAGAAGGCTAAAGCAAGAGGGCAGTAAGTTTGTTTGAGACCAAACTGGGCTACATGAGACTTTGTCTCAAAAGAAAAACACACACACACACACACACACACACACACACTCCTAAACTATATGTATAACATGTTAGAATTTAGACTATGAAATGCACTATTTTATGTTACTTATCTCATACAGAAAAACTTATTTATACAAAATTTTGTAATTTAATTAAAACACTAATGTATAATTGTAAGACAATATAGCTTTTTTTTTTTTTTTTTGAGACAGGGTCTTACCACATAATTCAGGCTGGTCCTGATCTCACTATGTAGCCCATACTGGCCTTGATCTTGAGGCAATCCTCTTGCTAAAGCTTCCCAAGTGATGAGATTCCAGATATGTACCACCATTCTCTGCAGCATTCACTACTTTTAAATTTTTTTTTTTTTTTTTTTTTTGAGACAGGGTCTCACTCTGTAGTGAGACTGACCTGGAACTCACTGTGTAGCCCAGGCTGGTCTCAAACTCACAGTGATCCTCTTGCCTCAGCCTCCCAAGTGCTGGGATTACAGGCGTGCGCCACCATGCCTGGCTACACTACTTTTAAAATTAGAATGGGGCTGGGGGTGCGGGGTTGGCTCAGTAGTTCTACCGCCTGCCTTGCAAGCACAAGGGCCAGAGTTCCATCCCCAGTATGCACAACCCCCCCACCCCACAAAGAAGTCTTTAGGGCCAGGGATTTAGCTCAGTAGTTCCACTGCCTATGCAAGGTACTGAATTTGATCCTGGGTATCCTCCCCCAAATAAATAAATTAATTTAATTAAATGAAGCTGGGGGTTTAGCTCAGTGACAACATGCCTGCCTCACAAGCCCAAGGTCCTAAGTTTGATCCCCAGTACCAGAAAAAAAAAATTAGAATGAAGTATCAAATCAAGTAAACTCTAATGCTCATTATAAAATGAGTATAAATACAAGACCAGTGGGCTTCAAATTCACTAGCACCAATGTGCGCTGGGAGTCTTCTCAAGAATTCACAGCTAAAGAACCAGGTAAGGGTTCAGCACAACTTACAGCTGCGGGCTTCTGGGCTCCACCTGGTGGCCTCCATTCACTCCTGTGTAGCATGTCTTCTTTCCTTCTAACTGGCACTGATATCCTTGCTCTTGGTGGATGCTTCCCCTGAAATCTCACTTTCTGCACTTTAGAATCTTATTTAACCAAAACAAAACAAAAATTTTAAAAAAAATTCTACCCCTTTACTATCAGTACTTGCAAGAGTATAATCATAAGCTGCATTTCATAACCCAGTACGTTTAATTTAGCCAGAAATATTTTACACATGGAGAAGTACTGATGAAATACTGATCTGCATTTTCTTTGAATGCAGAAAATCATTTCCCAGGATTCCTTTACATATTTCTAGCAATATGCAAGGCAGCTCTTTATTAAAAATGAAGAACTGATGTTCATATGTATAGAAACACTGTACGTGGGATAAAGATAAAAGTAATTAAATGCAGTCATGACAGCATGGGTTATCAGGCCACACTATTCACCTTTCTTCTTGCATTATGGCTGGAAATGTATGAGTAGGTCTTCTAATATGCTTATCTTTGCCTCTATCAAAATTTGTTCTTGCTTTCCTACCTTCCCTATATTCGTTATGTGGACAGTGCTACTGGGCATCGTGGTGCATGTTGCTACCCAGGATTTGGAGAGCAGAGTCAGGAGGATCAAGAATTGGAAGCCAATCTGAGCAATACAGCAAGTTCCAGCCAGCCTAGACTACAGAGTGAGCTCCTATTTCAAAAGAAGGAGAGAGAGAAGAGGGAAGAGGGACAATGTACTTTCTCTCCTCAAAGTATCTACTTTCTAAATACTCTTCAATCCAGGCTGATATGTAACAAATGTCAAATCGAATTGTTATTATCATTATTTTTTATAGTACTGGGGGGTTGAACACAGGACCTTGAGCACACTGGACAAGCGCATTGCCACTGAGCTACATCTCCAGCCCTTTTTATTTTATTTTGAGACAGGGTCTCTCTAAGGTACTCAAACTTGTGATCATCCTGCCTCAGCCTACCAAGTAGCTGGGATTACATGGGTGGCCTGCTGTGCTTAAATCAAATTCAATATGGCAAAGAGGTTTACTCATTTTCTTTTTATAACTTTCCTCAGTTTTCACTTCTTGAGGATAATATTTCCCTACCACAGATTCCTTGAGAGACTGTTTACTCCTTCTGATCTTATAAATTCAGACATTTGGTTATAGCTAAATCTTACTGCTCTTACCTTCACAGTATCACAGAATTAGTCACTTTCTCTTCTTTAATGCGCACCTTACTCCCATACTCACACATTGAGCATTTCATCACCTCATCTGATTCTGCTTAATTTTGTTTTCTTTTTGAGACAAGGTAATCCCAGGTGACTGTAAACTATCTGGGTAGCTCAGGCTGGCCTTGAATTTGAGATCCTCCTACTTTAGCCATGAGCTCTGGGATTATGGGCATGCACCACCACAGCTGCCTATACTCTTACCTGATTCTGGAAACTATGACTAAAATTGTTCTCTCCACTTATTACCATAAATATCACCTGCTTTCTTTCCTTGGATCTCATACTGTTTTCCATTTTTCTAACTTCAGCTTCAAAGGGCCTTTGCAATTGAGAATTGGTCGTTTGGCTGTGTGTTATATGAACTCTGCACACTCAAGCATCCAGTAAGTACGTTAATCATGAGGTCAATCTTGGATTATTTATTTACTTAATTTATCTTTATTTTTTGTTTTGAGACAGGGTCTCCCTATGTAGCGCAGACTGACCTTGAACTCACTAGGTAGCCAAGACTGGCCTCAAACTCATGGTGATCCTCTTGCCTCAGCTTCCTCAGTGCTGTAATTGAGAATTCTTTATTTTTCTTTTCTTTTTTAGTATTTGGTTGTTTCTTTGTTTTGGGGGTTTTTTTAGACAGGGTCTCACTATGTAGTTGAGACTGACCTGGAACTCACTGTGATGCCCAGGCTGGTCTCTAACTCACAGCAATCCTCCTGCCTCAGCCTCCCGAGTGCTGGGATTATAGGTGTGTGCTACCACGCCCAGCTTTCTCTTTTAGTATTTTGAGACAAAGTCTCACTATGTAATTTAGACTGGCCTTGGACTCACTGTGTAGCATAGGCTGCCCTTCTGCCTCAGCCTCCCAAGTGCTGGAATTACAGGTGTGCACTACCAGGCCCAGTATATTAAAGAGAATCCTTAATCACCAGCCCATCCTATTTCAGAAAATAAACTTGTTTTATTCAGCTATGTTTGTCTGTGATCTTTCTTATACCCCATCCCTTCATTACATACAAGTTAAATTTGGATTCAACCTGTTCTTCTGCTGTGCTTCCTGAAAGTTTCCTGACTAATGAGAAGAAAGGAACTGAATCCTCTGGGTCACACCTGGGCTACAAATATCCACTAATTCCCTGTGATTTCCCTCCTATTTTATTGCTGATATTTTCTAAATGTCCTACTTCAATGTATTTAGTGAAATTTCCCCAGGGTTGTGAGTCGTGTGACCATGTGAGACACTGTAAGAAATGCTTTTTTAATATCAAACAGTGCTGACATCAAAACACAGTTGGAGAGTCTTGTCTCAGACACTGGCAGGAAAACGCAGCCATCAAAGGGTAGGAACCACAAACAGGTCATAAATGCTTTTCTTCCTTCTTTTTCGGGTACTGGGGGGTAGCCCAGCGCTTGTTGCTAGGCAAGGGCCACACCCAGCCCAGGGTTGCTGTTCGGATGCAGTTAAGTCGTTCTCACCCTGGGCCGCTCTTCCTGCAGGTTGTGCAGCTAAGGACCGTGCTCTCCTCATGGGCTTCAGCGTGGGGGTGAATTCTTCCCGAATGACCTGAAAGCCAATGAACAATGAACGTATCAAGGATCTGTAAACCGACATCTCTGCCAAAGGAAAAATGGGATCACCTCGGAGGTCACCTCGGGAGTCAAGTACTTGGCGATGAGCTTCTCTAGAAAGGGCCTCTTCAAGATGGAATTGACAGAAGGGCGATCCCGGGGTGAAACTTTAAAGAGCTGAGGGACCAGGGACCGGAGGTCGCGGGAAAACCTGGGTGATATCTGAGCGACGCGCGCTTGACAAATTGTCAGAACCAGCTGGTGAAGGTTGTTCCCCTCAAACTGAACACACAGAGTCATTACATCAGAGAAAAGTTAAGTACTGGCATTAAAGTAATAAATATTCTAAGAAGCAAAATAATGTTTTCACTGCAGCTAGATGCCCTATGACCCACCCTCCATCACTGCTGTCCACTGATCTTTCCTAAGTAGATAGGCAGGCAGTCACTCAGAAAGATGCCCCTGTTCTTTAAAATGAGTTTTCTATGCACACCTGGCTACCCATATCATTTTAAACAATCTAACAGAACTGAATGTTAACTTTATTCTTCCACAAGCTAATTTCACTTATATAATTTACATAACTCAAGATTTGGGCCGGGGATTTAGCTCAGTGGTTCCGCTGCTTGCCTCTCAAGCCCAAGAACATGAGTTTGATCCCCGGTACCAAAACAAAACAAACCTAAATAAATAAATAATTCAAGATGCCCAGTGTGGTGGTGAATGCCTGTAATCCCAGCCCTCGGAAAGCTGAGGCAAGAGGAACACCACGAGTTTGAGGCCAGTCTTGGCTACCTAGTGAGTTCAAGGTCAGTCTGTGCTACATAGGGAGACCCTGTCTCGAAAAACAAACAAACAAACAAAGAAAAAAAAATGAAGAAACAAAGGTAAATTAAGTAAATAAATAAATAATTCAAGATTGACCTCATGATTAACGTACTTACTGGATGCTTGAGTGTGCAGAGTTCATATAAGACACAGCCAAGAGACCAAACATCCCTAGGGAACATAAGAGTTTACATGCCAAGAAAATATCCATAATTCTTACCCTTATAGTGCCTTATGTGTGTGCAGCTTCATTTTATGTAGGCTGATCAGTTTTTACAAGTGCTTTCAGATACATCACCACTTCTAACAACCATTTGTAGTTTGTCAGGCATCCACCAGTATCAGATAAAAGATATATAAACTTTGCTACAATCCTATGGATTAATATTTAATTCAACTATATGCGCCTAACAAAAATGTGTGGGAGGCAGGACTCATAAGGCAAAATGTGGTTGATTTTGAAAGGTATATTCTACTCAAGGCTCTTGACAGAACCAAAGTTATATTAGGTGATGAATGTAGTATCTGCTCTCAATAAATATTTTTAAAATGTACTTGCAACGTATGATTTGAGAGTCATTCTTTACAGACTTAGTAGTGTGTGTGTGTGTGTGTGTGTGTGTGTGTGTGTGTGTGTATTGGTGATTGATCCCAGAATCATATGTGTTCTAGTCAAGGACTCTACTACTGAGCTACATCCCTCGCTCCATTAGTAGATACTGATACATGACCGGTTTAAGAAGTTACTTTACAGAACAGAAAGCACAATTAAAGTAAAAGTCAGAGTAAAATGTGACATATGGAGCAGGTCTTCAAAGAGCCAAAACAAAGATTCGTTAAAGAGACATATAGTTGACTGGGGGTGTAACTGAATGGTAGAGTATTATTGCTTAGTCCTGGGTTTGATTCAGGGAGGGATTGGGAGAGGAAGGGAGAGAGGGAGGGAGAGAGGGAGAAGGAGACGGAGGGAGGGAGAGGGAGAGGGAAAATGGGAGGGGGAGAAGGAGAGGGAGGAAGAAAGACAGGGAGAGGGAAAGGGAGAGGGAGAAAGGGAAGGGGGAGGGGAAGACAGAGAAATGGATGAATGTATATAAATAGCCCCACTAGCTAACAACACTTCTGGTTTGTATGTTGTATATGTATGTGTCACAGAGAGAGAGGTAAAAGTGACACTAAAGATTTGATAGTAGAAGATGAGTATAAATTTGGTAGGAAACAAATCTAAACTGCTTTTAGAATTTCTAGAAACTCAGTGGCCCAAAACTTCTATCTCCACAGTGCCCTCTGTGGCCTCCCTAGTGATGTGCATGCCAGGAGGGCTCAGAAAAGCAATGAAGCCACATGGGGCTAAGCGGCCAGGCGGTGAAGACTATGGCAATCAGGGTATGCTTTGCTGGCCTAGGGATGCCAATGGCTTTCCAGCTGATTACTACTAAGATCTTCCAATTTTCAGAAGCAACAAATCTACGTGTTTTGGGCTCTTTTCATTCGTTTCGTTTTGAGACAGTATCTCACTATGTAGCCCAGGCTGGCCTTGAACTCATGGAGACCCTCCCACCTCAGCCTCCCAAGTATTGGGATTACAAGTGTGCACCACCAGGTCTGGCTCTGGAATCTTTCAATATTTAAATGTTGACTCCAATTTTTAAAAAGCAGTACAAGGAAACAAAACAATGCTGCTGACCCAGGACTCAACCTGGCAAGACTAATCTCTGCTCTCCACTGTCTACCTTCCTTCCAGTATATCCCACCTATGTTACTGCACAGCTAGAGCCCAACCCCACCAGGGAAAAGGGATGTCATATATACATCTCCAAGGGGGGGTTAATATAACATATGTATACATAATATACGTATATATGTGCTTTTTTTGTTTGTTTGCTTGTTTGAGACAGGGTCTTGCTATGTGGTTCATGCTGACTTTGATCTCACTACATAGCCCAGGCTGGCTTTGAACTTATGGCAAGAGCCTGTCTCAAAAAACAAACAAACAAACAAACAAGGCCAAAGCTTCAGGGATAGTCACTGGGATCTCCATTTTACACACGGAAAAAGTGACATTATAAAAGTACCCAGAAGAAAGCGAGATGAGATTATAACTTTAGCTTCTGGAATCTTAATTCAGTCTCATCTATAAGATTTTCTGACACTTTCAAACCCATAGCCAGCAACTCACGTTTTGTTGTTGTATGGCTGATTCTGACAGATTTCTGGGGACAAGTAGTAAGGGGTTCCAATACAGGTTCGAGCAAGCTCCATGGAACTGTCAAATTACATTAAATCATAAAACACTGTGGTTTATTACTGGAGTAAGAAAGCCATGGACATCAAGAAAAATGTAAAAACATAACAAAATCAGATGCATGTATTAGAAGAAAGCAAAACACTTTACATTTACAAAAAAGTAATAAAATCAGTAGATTTTTAAATTTATAATTCACCCACACACATTTCTTTTGTTGTTTGTTTGTTTGTTTGTTTTGAGACGGGGTGTCACTGTGTAGTTTGTGCTGGTTTTGAATTCAATATGTAGCCCAGGCTGCTCTCGAACTCACAGCAATCCTCCTGCCTCAGCCTCCCAAAGTGCTGGAATTACAGGCATGCATCACCACACCCACCGACTCCCATAAGTTTACACATTAAAATATAGATTTACTTTTACTGAAAATAAAATAAAATAAAATATCTCTGTGGAAATATACATTCTGATGATGGGAGTGTGGCTCAATGATAGAGAACTTGCCTAACATGCACAAGGCCCTGAGTTCAATCTCCAGTACTGAAAAAAAGAAATAAAGAAAAAAGTCTAAAGCCTCAAAATAGTTCCTCTTAAAAATTAATATATATACAGTTTTTAGTATTTCCTACCCATACTTTTCACATAACTATCACCATAGTATGTTTATAACAGTCTGTTTATAATTCAGAATCCCATTTTCCTTACTTAATATAATTAAATTCCAGGTAGTCTCACACACCTATAATCTCAGCACTCAGGAGGCTGAGGCAGGAGGAAGACCATGAGTTCAAGGACTGCCTGGGCTATATAGTGAGTTCAAGTCCAGCCTAAACTACATATTGCAACCCTATCTCAAAAAACAAAAAACTATTTAATATAATTAAGTATTTCCTTAGGTTGCCAAAAAGTTCTCAAAACCTTAAATATTTTTGGCAAAATACTAGAAACATTTTATTGAATTTAAATGTAACCATTTCCCAATTCTTATTAAATAATTAAATTATTATTTAAATTACTTCAAATTTCAAATTATTTTCTTGGAATAAATTTCCAGCAATTGAACATTTAAACATTGCCACCATTATTTTATTATGCTGCAATTTATGTTGGGAATCTTAATTACAGACATTTGAATGATTTAATGCATGCGCGTGTGTGTGTGTGTGTGTGTGTGTGTGTGTGTGTGTGTGTGTGTGTGTAGTAAGGACTGACCCTGTGGCCTTCACAATGAAACACATATCCAACCCTTTAAAAAATTATTCATTTTTTGATTTTTTGAAATAGGGCCTCACTCTGTAGTTCAAGCTGGCCTTGAACTCCCTATGCGGCCTAGTCTGGGCTTGAACTTTTGGTGATCCTCCTGCCTCAGCATCCTGAGTGATGGGATTACAGGCATGTGCCTCCATACCCAATTTAAAATTTTTATTTTTTAGACAAGATCCAGGCTGGGCTTGAATTTGTGATCCTCCTGCCTCAGCCTCTCCCAAACTGCTGTGCCACCATGCCCAGATGATTTACTACATTTATATAAAGTTACCTAAAATACTCAAACAACCAAGTTTGTAAAGTCATCTTAATTTATGATGCCTCAAAATACATACTTTGGCCATTTTGAGTGAAAAGAAAAATAATATTGCAAGGTTCTTACTTGTTCAGGACTCTTGCTACACCAAAGTCCCCAAGCTTTGCAATCATTCCATTCTTGCTAAGAAAAATGTTCTAAAAATGGAGAAAATGCTGTATTGTTTGAAAAATCTCAAGGAAAGATTCATTTTATCTTAGTCTTCTTTCTGAGTGCTTACCTGAGCTTTTACGTCCCTGTGTAATATCTTCCTGTCGTGAATATATTTTAGGCCAAGAGAAATTTGTACGAACCAACCCAGGATCTGCAGAGAAAAACACAAAACAAAACAACTGAACTGTCTGGTAGTCATCAAAATATCTTCACAATAACATGTAAAAAAGAGCAATAATATACTGTGTGTGTGATTGCAGGAACAAAGCCGGTAAAGACACATGATTTTCACTTTTCAGCTAAAAAAATGGAGGTGCAGAAGAGCAATGCAAACACCATTAATATCAAAGGGAATCCCACATGCAAATAAATAGATAAATAAATAAACAGAAGTGAGGGAGATACGGAGGCCATTCAGGATTTTTTTTCTTATTTAACACTGGGTTGCCAAATGCAAATACAGTGGTTGTCTATGCTTCCTGATAACCCCGATAACCCCCTCCGTACCACTGAGTTTTCCTTCTTGTGAAACAGAAGGTGTCAAGAAGAGTGTGAGAGAAGGACAACTGGAGAATCTGCAAGGTTGTTAGAAACTACTAATTCTGGGAGGCAGAGGCAGGAGGATCACAAGCTCCACTCCAGCCTGTACAACTCAGCAACTCAGTGAGACCCGTCTCAAAAGAAAAACAAATAGATTTTTTAAAGGGGTGAGGATGTAGTTTAGTGTGAAGACCCTGGCTTCAAAGTATAATAAGAACAGTAAAACCTAGTTATTTTTAAATGTAATAAAAACTGTTTAGTCATTAATAAGTTATAAAAAGATGCGATTTTAGTACTTCCAATGTTATATATTTTTTAAGTTGCAATACATATTTCCTGTAGGTCTCTTCTTTATCCTTATTCAATCAGTCTTTTTAGTGTACCAATAATACTGTTTGTCCTATGTGTAAATCTGGAGAATAATGTGGAAATAAAGTCTGTGTTAAGGCTTATATCTAGATGTCCCTCCAAAGCCTCACATACTCATACATGGGGAGTTTCAAAGGTGGCTGGGTTAGGGTGTGTGAATGTGAATTAAGTGAGTGATGCTGGGATTAAGGGGGTGGACAATGGAAGCCCCACCCTGGGTGTGGGAAGTAGCAATCAACAGATTTACACATTGGATGGAACATAAGGGACAGAAAGAAGGCAGGCAGTGGCTGCTCTTTCTGCTTACTGCCTGCTGCCTGCTGCCTGCTGCTTTCTATGCCATGGACTGCTGCTCCTCTGCGACGTCACCCTGCCTTAGAGCTGGATGACTATGGACTGAAATCTCCATAAACTATGAGCTGAAATAAACCTTTTCTCTTTTAACTTGTGGGTGTTGGGTATTTTGTCTCAGCAATGAGAAAAGTAACTAAGACAGTTTGCAAGCAAAAGAAATTGTAAGAAAGAAACTAAAAAGACAGAGGGAGCAAGAAAGGAGAAGAAAAGGGAAGTAAAAAGAATTAGGAAATGTAATGTGGAGTCGAACTGCCACCCTCCTAGGCTGACCAGAGATCACTTTAAGCCTTTTCCATCCTGCTACGCTTTTACATCTACTAAAGATGTACATGTTATCATGGGTTAATAAGGCCCAGTAACCATGGCTACGCCCCATGACTCCCATCATTCTTCAGCCCTGCTCCTGTCCTTTCTCAAGCCTTGTCCCTGGCAGACAACTATAACTCCCTTTTTCTGAACTCTTCCCCTCGAAAGTCCCATTCTGACCTTTTCCTTTCACAGACGCCCTTCATGCTCAGGACCCTATAAAAGCCTTATATCCTGTTTAAGAGTTTCTGCTCTGTTCCTAAGTGCCATGGCAATCCCTCTCAGGTTTGTTCTGAAATAAGCTTGTCCTATTGAGCTCGTACCTTTGCTTTTTCCTCCTTTTGCCTAACTTTATGTACATGTACCAACTTCCCATGATGAATGTAATCATTATGTACTGCAAATATATACTAGTAAAACTTTTAATAATTAAAAATTAAAAAGAAGAAATTGTAACAAAATAATTACCACAATGAACCCATCCATTTGTATAATTTATATGTATATTAATTACAGAAAAATAAATAACTACATATCTAATATAAAAAATCAACAAATATTCTACTTTTAAAGTTTGGGGCTGAGGTAGAACATGTGCCTGGCAGCCCAAAGATTTCATCCCTAGTGCTGCATAAAAAGGGGGGAAAAATCTCATTTTGATTTCTTAGTCAGGATTTTATCTTAGTTGGCCATGAATCTATGAAAATGTGTTGTATGCCTACAGAGACTCACTTAAACTCCTGAAATTTCACTTGTTCTTTGTCTGCTAAATTACATGGGAAGGGCCAGGGATTTAGCTCAGTGGTTCTGCCACCTGCCTCGCAAGCACAAGGTCCCAAGTTCAATCCCCGATACAAAAAAAATCAATAAATTATATGGGAAGAGGAAAATAACAGGAGAAGAAAGACTAAATAATTCTACAGTCAGTTTCATGTTAGGTCTTTCCCAACAAAGGGAAATGTGCTTAAAATTTTGTCATGAAAAGCATTTTTGTGAAATGTGGCAAAATAATAACTAGGTAAAAAAAGAAAGAACAGTTTCTGTAAATATGGATTTTAATATATAATATACATGAATTAGGAAGAATGCCTCATTAATGTCACAGACATTAAAGATATTGATCATTCATAATATTCTACTTTTTGGGGGGGGGGTTGTTTGGATTTTTGAGACAGTGGGATCTCACTGTGTAGTTCAGGCTGGCCTTGAACTCATGGAGATCCTGCTGCCTCAACCTCCTGAGTGCTGGAATTACAGGTGTGTAACTTCAATTCTAGGAGGAAATTACAGGGGCATGATGTTTTTAAATGCTAAAATAGAACAAAGAAACAAATGGCCAAAAGAAAGCCATTCCTGTGTGCTATTTGAGGCAATGGCTCCACCCCTCACTTCACACAGGACCTCTTTCGGATTCCCCCACTCATACACACACATACCTGTGTCTTTCATGGGCACAACTCCCTGAGGGTTTCAAAGGAAGCTCAGAGGCTAGTGGAAAATGTGTTCTTGCAGAGCAAATGGGGACGGAGGCCATTATTCTTCACCTCTTCTGTCCATCTCTTAATAACCAACAAAATGGGCTAGGGGCACAGCATACTGGTAGAGCATTTGCCTAGCGGGCTCAGGGCCCTGGATTCCATCCCAAGCGCCACAAATAATAACAAAAATACCCGATGATATTAAATAGGCATTGCTAAGGAGACTGACTATTCTCCTTGGCAAAATGGAAACTGTTTTATAATGGGGTAAAAATGGTAAAAAAACATGTGAAGCTCTAAATATGTTACATTTTAAATGGCTAAAGAAGCGGGGCATGGTGTCGCACACCTGTAATCCCAGCAGTTGGGAGGCTGAGGCAGGAGGATCGCTGTGAGTTCGAGACCAGCCTGGGCTACATAGTGAGTTCCAGGTCAGTCTCAACTACATAGTGAGACCCTGTCTCAAAAATAAATAAATAAAATGGCTAAAGAACACATACATGCAGATACTTTTTTAGCCATGAAGACTGACCTCAGAGGCATTCTATGTGAACTATACATAGAGTATCTTTTTTTTTTTTCTTCTTTTAAAAAAAGTCTCAGCCAGGCCTAGAGATGCATACTTGTAATCCCCGCCACTCAGGAGGCTGAAGAGGAGGATCACTAGTTTGAGGCCTACCTGGGCAATTTAGCGAGGGCCTCATATGAAAATAAAAAGTGCTGGGGATGTACGTACCTCAGTGCTAGAACACTTGCCTAGCATGTGTGTGGCTCTGGGTTCAATACCCAGTAATACAAAAGCAGGGAGGGAAGGAAAAAGATGTGGGGTGGGCGGAGAAGGAGAAAAAGACTCAATTTCAGTTCAACTGCAAATGTTCTGGACTAAATCTACCAAGAATATTGATCCACTATTTTTGGGGTTGAATTTTTCTACCAAAGACTATGCTTCATATAAACATGGTCTACTACTTATGACATTCTAAATGTAATAAACCACACACATATAATTAAAAAGCAAATTAAAAGTTTTTACCTGATCTTCACCAAATAACACTCCTTGTTGCCTATGGATCCTTTTCATGAGATCCCCTCCATCACAGTATTCCATTACAATAAACAGCCTGTTGTTCTCTGTAAGAAAAGGAATCCTTTGGCACTGGTAGGGTATCCGGTATTTATTAATCATTTGCCTTTCAAATTTAGAAAGTAAAGCCAGGGATTTAGCTCAGTGGTTCCACCACCTGCCTCGAAAGCAAAAGGTCCTAAGCTTGATCCCCGGTACCAAAACCAAAAACAACAACAACAAAATTTAGAAAGCAGGAAATACAAGAGAAAAATGCAGAATATAATAGTTAAATATTCTGACTATACAATCAAGATGGACTGGGAGCCAGTGTAGTGGCCTATGCCTGACATCCCAACACTCAGGGAAACTGAGGCTGGAGGACTGCAAGTTCAAGCCCAAGCTTGCCTGGGTTATTTAGCAACTTATTGAGGCCACATCTCAAAATTAAAAATATAAAGGGGCTGGGTATGTAGCGCAATGCAAAGACCCTAGGTTCTGTACCCAGTACAACATACACAAAAAAGGAATGAGATCTAATCCCACTTCGCCACTTACTTTCTTTCCTTCCTTTCTTTCATCTATCAATCTATTTTTCTTTTTGCTGAGATGAGGTCCAGGGCAAGCATATTACCACTGAGCTACACCCCAACCCAGACCACCATTTTCATTTCTTAGCTCTGTCATTCAAGGTAAGTCACTCTCTTTCTCTGCCTCATTGGTTCATCTGTAAGTGGAAATAATAATATAGAAACTTCCTCTTAGGGTTGTTAGAAAGATCAAATGAATTGATTCACTCCAGATGTTTAGAACAATGCCTAAATTTATGAGAGTTCAATAAATATTGACTATTATTATATTCTTAGAAGAGATTAGAAACCAGATATAAAAATAGCAGGTCTTCCCCAATATCCCAGGAAGAATTAATAGCCCCTTCTTGAACTGGGGTATAAATTTACACTTATATGGCATTAAATCAACCATGCTGCTGACTACAGTAAAAACCATATTACCTAGTGCCGGGTATGGCGGCACACACCTGTGATCCCAGCACAGGAGAGGCTGAGGCAGGACAATTGTTGAAAGTTTGAGGTCAGTTTAGAATATATGATATCCTGTCTCAAAAGAGAGAGAGAAAGTGGGGGGAGGCAGAGTAGAAACTGTACTACCTGAGAGAGAGAGAGAGAGAGAGAGAGAGAGAGAGAGGAACTGTACTACCTGACCTCTATCTAACCTACTAACAAGATTATTGGTCAATCCTATTACTGTTTTCCACTCAAAGTTACCACTAGTGGCTACTGGGCTTTCTATGATATCCAAGTACCTCTGCTCCTTGCAGTTCAACAGATTCTCACCAAGATCATTGCTCCCAAGTCTGTATATGTCATTTATACTTGCCACTGTAATTTTTTTTGTTTCCCCCATGGGGGTTCCTGGAGGATCTGTAATAGCAGGTCAATGTACGGAGTGGATGCAGCAAGCTCTTATCCTATGACAACAGCTCCAAAAATCCACTTAATATATTGTCCTTGCACAGAGTACATACCAGATATTAAACTGATAAGAAGGGACACTACATTTGATCTCCATCAAAAGGTCTGGAAGCCACTGTCATTGTAATTTATTACATAAACTGATGAGACACGAATGGAAAAAGAAAAATTGGATTATTTCTACAAAAACAAGTCAGAAAAACTACAATGAATTGTTTTTAGGATTCAGTAAAAGTGACAAAAAAATCAAAAAACAAAACTGTTGACCTGAACATTAATTGGGACAAATAAAACATAACTGGAAAGAGCCGGTGATTTAGCTCAGTGGCACTGCACCTGCATCACAACTGCAGGTCCTAAGTTCGATCCCTGGTACAGAAAAAAAAAAAAAAAAAATCACTGTAACTGGAAAGCTCTAAATAAATTGTGAATACAAATTATTCAATAAATTCTTACTCCATATGGAATTCTCCACCACCCGCTCCCCCAGTACTGAGGACTGAACCCCGGGCCTTGGCACCCAACTACAGTCTCAGCCTTTTTTTATTTATTTATTTATTTTGCTTGTGTGTTTTTCATTTTTTTGAGACAGGGTCTCACTATGTAGTTGAGACTGACCTGGAACTCACTCTGGAGCCCAGGCTGGTCTCGAACTCACAGCGACCCTCCTGCCTCAGTCTCCCGAGTGCTGGGATTACAGGCGTGTGCCACCATGCCCAGCTTATCATTTATTTTGATACATTATATTTATATTTATATACATTACATTTATATTTGAAACATTACATTGCTAAGCTACCAAGGCTGGGCTCAAACTTCCAATATCTTTACCTCTTTCTTCCACAGTGTTAGTGAGGCAGGAGATTAGGGCATGGCCAGCTAGTTGGGCAAGTTGAAGTGATGTGACAATCCTGGAGACCCAGTACACATGTGCCCAAGCCCTTCACCTGGGACCCATCAGAAAATGCTATCCTCAATTCTCCTGGCACAAGATCAAGCAGGTCTTCGACAGGACAGCCTAGATCTGACCTCAGCAGGGGTGGGAGAGGAGTTTACAAAAGATGGCCGCCATTGACTTCAATGCCACTGTGCTCTCTCTCAGCGGCCAGCTCTCACTCTATAGAGCGTACTTCTTTTCCTACCTTTAATACATGTAAAATCTCACTACCTTTTTCATGTGTTTTGTCCAATTCTTTGTTTAGGACATCAAAAACCTGGGAAAAAATTCTGTTGAAGCCCACAGCACCCTAGCACCCCAGTAACACTGGAAATAAGGAAATTGGAAATTCTAAACAGGGAATATAGCTTACATAAGGAAGAATAAAAAGACAAAGCCTTGGCCTTGCATAAAAGTTTGGCAAATGATTGCACAATTACATGTAAGAATAAGGTAATTGTGTTCTGAATGTTTGTACCTCCTAAAAATTTATACATTGAAATCCTAATCCCCAAAATAACAGTATTAAGATATAGGGCTTTGGGGAGGTTAGTAAGCAACGAGAATAAAGCCCTCAGTCCTCAAGAATGGGATGATTGTGCTTATAAAAGAGGCCTGATAAGTTCAAGTCCAGCCACGGCTACTCAGTGAGACCTTGGCTCAACAAAACAAACATAAAGACACCCAAGAAAAATTGCCCTCCCCTTCCACCAGGTGAGGACTCAGAAAGTGAACTCTTTCCAGACACCAAATCTGCCAGTACCTTGACTTTGGACTTCTTGGGCTCTAGAACCATGAACAGTAAACATCTGTTGTGGAAAAGCTACACAGAGCCAGGTGTGATAACCCACACTTATAATCCCAGCACTCTGGAAGGCTGAGGCAGGAGGATCTCTGTGAGTTCGAGACCAGCCTGGGCTACAGAGTGAGTTCCAGGTCAGTCTCAACTACATAATGAGACCCTGTCTCAAAACAAAAAATGGCTGGGGATATAGCTCAGTATGAAGGCCTGGGTTTGAGGTACGATAGAAGAAATAAAAGATAGGGACAAAGGAGACACAGAAATAGTAATCAAAAATCATACTTTTTTTTTTTGGTACCTGAGATTAAACTCAGGCCCTTGCACTTCCGAGGCAGGCGCCGGAACCACTGAGCTAAACCCCGGCCCCAACAATTGTGCTTCTAAAAAGACTGCAACTTCTGAGCCCCAGCTAACCTTACCTAGGGTGACCCACATCAGCACTCCCTCGGTTAAATTTAGGCTCCTTCTCTACCATACCCATCACATCCGAAATTCCTCAGGTATACTGAAAGTCCATAGAATGGCTCAATTAAAAAAAGGAAAGAGCAGGTTCCTGATCCTAAGATAAAGGAACAGACTGAGGGAATTCAAAGAATGCTTATATTACCCATCTTTAAAAACAAGAAAACCAGGCCAGGGATGCAGCTCAGCAGCACAATGTCTGTCAGGAAAATAAATAAATAAAAACAAAAAATACTGGGCTCATACCTTTAAAATGGGCCAGCACCCTTGTGGGGATGTGAAAGGGAACAGTGACGCTCAACAACTAGGCCATACACACACCGAGGGGTCCGGCTGGAGATTTTATTCAAGGGGTGGGAGTAGAGAGAGAGCAGAGAGAGAGAGGAGGAAGAAAAAGAAGAGAGGAACAAAGAAAGGAAGGTCCTTTTATTGGTTTTGGGCTGGGCTATTGCTTATTCATGAGGAGTGGGCTACTTTTAACCTATCACAGGTCAGAATGCTTTTATGGGTCCAGCCCTGCAGAAGCAGGTTTCAACTTCTCTGGGCCACTGTGGCCTTGAGGGGAGGTAAACCAGAGATAAGTGCATGAGGTCATTTTAGGAGCCAAGAAGCACCAGGAGAATGCAGCCTGGGCTGGCGGCATCACAGCATACTTTAACATGATCAGTTCCCTAACAGGATGGACCACCTTTTCTGGGGGTTTCCACCCCCTTGAGTGAAGCATAAATGTTTCCCAATCCAGGAAGCGATGTGCCTCTCTCTCTTGAGGGCCCACACCCTATTCCTCTGAGTTGTACAGTGGACCATCAAGTTCTGACCAGTCTGACATATGAACAACTTGGGTTACTTAGGTTAATTGAAGATTCATCTGCCCCTTGTTATCTATAACGTGTACCCAGGTAAACATCCAGATCTCAGCTGTACTGACTTAAAACCAACTTGAGTTACAACCAGCCCTTCGGAACCAATCTGATCCAGTTCGTAAGTCAAGGGTACACTGTACTAAAATTCTGCTCCAGAGCCTCTAACTTACACGACTGGAAAATTCTTTTTCCATGACAGTAGTCAGTGAGCTTCGGAGCTCACATTATGTTTAAGATGGGTTAAGTTCCTTGGCTTTGGGACCCGCTTCAGACCCAGTCTGGTAACAGGTTCAGATCCCCCTTAACAAAGAGCTATCTGAGGGCATGATGAGGGTGTGTGTGAAAAACATCAAATGTGTGACAGGTCTGACCCATTTGACAACCCCAACCGCCCAAGTTCCTGAGCTCCAAGACAATCAGCCCATTCCTATATTCTACAGCCGTGAGCCCAGGAACAATGCCTTCTGCTAGGATGGAACACACTGCCCCACCTGCTTGGTGACAGTGCCTGTATAGTCACATACTCAGCCATCCTAGGTCTCACCCCACCTTCTGTCACCCAACCCACTAAACCCCCAACCCTATCTATGAAAGATCCAGCTCAATAAACTGGACTTGGCTTCTCCTTAGGAGTCACTCCAGGAGGTCCCACCTGCAGCCCCCAAATTCAGGCTGGTTGTGTTCTTTACTGGGTCTTACCATTTACCTAACACTGTATTTTTCTGCATGTATGATTCCGCCAAAATGAAAGCAATTAATCTGTATTACTAACACGTACTTTTTAAAAAGCCACCCAGTATTCTGTTATAGCAGCCAAAATAAAACAGGCCATATAATTTCCTACTTTAACTTTTTTAAAATTTTGAGACAGGGTCCTGGTAAACTCCTAAATTACCTAGGCTGGGCTCAGAACTGCAATTCTCCTGCCTCAGCCCCCCAGAGTATTAGGATTACAGGTGTGTACCAGAATATCAGGCTTAATCAGCTGGTTTTAAATAAACAATAACAAAAATAATAAAAGAGTATCCGTGGGACTAACCTAATCACATGAGCCATTCAAATCTGGGTCTAGTCAAAGACAGAGGAAGCGAGGGTTCCCCAGCTCCGCTAAGGGGCCATATGATTGGCACAGAAGTTCACTTCTCAAGGCAAAGGGCAGCTCCTGGTCAACAGCCAGCAAATGAGTGGAGCCTGAGTCCTACAAGTGCTACTAAAGAAATTCTGCTACCAAGTACTCAGAAGAGGACCGTGAGCCACAGAAGAGACCGCGGTCCTAGCTGACATCTTCATTTCAGCTATGTGAGACCTGGAGGAGAGACACCTACAGAGCCACGGCCAGAATTCTGACCTTCTGAAATTAAAAGATAACATCAGGGAAAAGAAAGAGAGAGAGAGAGAGAAGGAGAGGGAAGGGAAGGAAAAGAAAGCAAGGAAAAGGGAGAGGGGGAAGGAAAGGGGGAAAAAGAAAAGAGAAAACACATAGATATTGTTTTAAAGCCATTAAATATATATTTATTTGAGATGCAGCAAAAGAAAATAAATACAACAGTGCAGGGATTTTTGTCCGTTTTATTCACTGATAGATCCCCAAGAACTAGAATATGCCTACTACATAAGAGATAGTTTAAAAATTTAAATGGAATTAACTTAGCCCTAGGAAAATATCACTAGATTCTCATATTTTTGTTGCTTTAGTTGCCTCAGACCCATAAAAAAAAAAATCTCATATTTTCCATAGAAAAACATTAGCACTTGAGTTTTGGTTTGTTTGTCTGTTTGTTTGAGACAGGGCCTCCTTACGCAGTTTTGAACTCAGGAGGAGCCTAGACTGGCCTCATACTCATAGGCCCAGTTACAGCTTTAGTTCTTATGTTCAGAGATAAGCAGTTTTGAGTCAATAAAGCCTGTATTTACACTCTCTCAAGTCAGGTAAAATAAGATTCTCTTAAGCTTTTGAATACAATCATGTTTCCAGTACCAACAATCTGCCAAGCAAACTCATAGGCATCAGAACAGCTTTAGTTTTCCTAAACACAGGGAACTCTACTTTAAAAACAGAAAAAAGTCATAAGGACATGTAAATGTACAATATAAGCAAACCCAGCAGAGGTTATTTACACTGTAAACATGACCTCAGTTTTGTATCGGTGTCCAGTGTAAACTGCCCTCCAGAGTTCATTTTGCATGGACTATTCTTATTACTGCCGTCTGTTAAAATGGTCCAGTTCATTCACTTGTTGAACCTCTAATAGGTGCCACATGCCAAGGAGCAAAGGGAGCTGCTATTTGCCATGTGCAGAGGATCAAAAGAGACACAATCCCAAAATGTATAAAGTTTACTGTCCTCCTTTTTTGTGTGTGGTAATGAGATCAAACCCAAGATTTCACTGCACGTGTTAGGCAAGTGCTGTAATGAGGTAGGAGATTAGGAATTGAGAGGCCAGCTGGGAAAATGGGCATGACCTATTTATTTCAAAGTTCTAGGACACATGCACAGAACAGTTCCCAAAGCCTCACATGTGGATTTCCAACAAGAACTTGAGAACATTCTCCCTAACGAGCAAATCTCAGTGGATACAAAGCTGTTCTCTTGTTCTGCCTTTTTACATGTTCATGTAGAAAATTACATTAAGGATCTGTAGGAATATTCTCTAGGAGAACAAACAAGCTTTCTATAAAAAGGCAGACAGGTATGTAATGACGGTTTTGTTTTTGGTTTTTCATACCAGGGATCGAACTCAGGACCTTGCACTTGTGAGGCAAGTGGCCACACTGCTGAGCTAAATCCCTGGCTCTGTAATGATGTTTTTGATGTTTCAGAAGCCTAACTTTTTAAATAGCAGTTACATTTCACTAAATTGATATTTGGCTCATGGTTTACCAGGTTTCTGAAATATACATTTAGTGCATGGAAATTCAAGTCAACTAAAGGGCTGTGTGGCTAGCATATCATCTTCCATTCTGATCATTTGGCAAGAAAGGGAGATGTGGGCTGGGGATGTAGCTCAGAGGTGCTGTGCCCGCCTGGCAAGCACAAGGTCCTGAGTATAAGGACTGGAGGTTGGAGGCCAGCCTGGAGTATACACTGAGACCCTGTTGCAAACAAACAAAATAAAACAGAAAAGCTGTCTACAAAAATTCACTAGAGAGAAAAGAAAGATAACTAGAAAAGTGAACCCATTTACAAAAATTAATTTATACACAATTCTCAAGAACATATATTTTATAAGTCAGCATGTCTATACTTTACTACAAACTTTAAAAATACTAGAAAACCTAACCTTCAAATGAACTGAAGAAGGTTACAATGTTGGGATGTTTCATCTTTGCCAGAAGAATCACTTCTTTCTCCGAAGCTTCCTTCTCATGGCTAGGCATCTAAAGAATATGAAAGACAAATTAGTCTGGTGACGGTATCTTGTATTCAGTACATGCTTCCTGCTAACTCTCATATAAAATTCCTTAAAATGTCTCTGTTTTAATGTCATTTCTACAATTGGTCCCTCAAAGGCAGGAAATGATATCTCTACTATAAATGGTGTCCCATATCTGGTCAATGGCTTGTTAATGACAATCTTAATCAAGAAAGTAAGAAGAGCCAGAGAAATTTACTGTATTAAAAGTAGAAGCCAGGACTGGGGATTTAGCTCAGTGGTGCCACAAAAAGCCACATTTTTGGGCCGGGGATTTAGCTCAGAGTTGTGACACCTACCTCACAAGTGCAAGATCCTGAGTTCAATCCCTGGTACCAAAAAAAAAAAAAAGTAAAAGCCAGGTATTGTGGCACATGCTTGGAGTTCTAGCTACTCAGGAAGCTGAAGCAGAAGGATCTCTTGGGTCCAGGAGTCTGAGGCTGGAGTAGGAAACATAGATCTGTCTTAGATACTATAGATGATTGACTGGTAGATAGATAGACAGAAAGGGTTGGATTGGTGGTACTGTAATCATCATGTAGCTATTTTTTTTTTTTTTTTTTTTGGTACCGGGGATCAACCTTGGGTCCTTGCAGATAGCAGAACCACTGAGCTAAATCCCTGGCCCATCACGTAGGTATCTGCAAGAAAGTTATTTATGTATTTATTTATGGGGGCAGTGAGACAGAATCTCACTATGTGGTTCTGGCTGGGCTTGACTTATTATGTAGCCCAGTCTGGCCTGGAGCTTGCAACAATCCTTTCATCTCAACCTCCCGAGTGCTGGGATTATAGGCATGCACCACCATAACCTGCTCTGAATACTATAGTATCTAGCCTTCCACAGAAAAGGGTTCTTTATAAAAATGCAACATTCCAGCAGCAACCACTGCTGTGAAGAAATAAATGAAATCTAAAATAGGAAAATGTATCATATATCACATAAATCAAACCAGTAATGCTGGGTAATAAGATCATTATATTTTTCATTTTCCAAAAACATTGTCTCTTGTGACTTTGTTTTTTAGATTTGCATTTTCTACTTATCATCTAAGGACAATACTTTTCAAATGTGTGTGCTAATGCAAGTGACTGCACCCTATTTATGCCCTTTCTTTCTTCCTTTTAAGACTGAGCTATTCCAGGAATCAGAAGTCACAGAACAACTTCATTTCAGCTTTTCTGGGGTCACCCTACCACAATACCTGGTGGGGGAGAGCCAAAGAAATAGCTGCAGAAAAGGGGCAGGTTACTCGCAGATTCCCTGACAAGTTTAAACAGCAGCAAGAGCAGGTTGTAGAAGACACGGCAGGCCCATTGTCTATGGTGAAAAGCCAGGCCAGTCATGTAGTTGCTGAGTGCAAGGGCAAGAAGGATGACAGCGACATTGGCATGGCCATCGATACTGTGCTCTCCAGGGCCAGGCTGGTGCTGGGGTGGGTGGAACAGACATGCTGGGCATTGCCACATGGGCAATTAAGCGGATGTATGATCAGGCAATTAGCCCCACTTGCCTGAGCCAATCAAGGGAAAGCAGCTGTGAAAAACCAAATTGGATGGGCTCTTCAGATTGCTGAACAAGGACACACAGAGCTTACTATTGGCCGAGCTGCCCGACATAAAACTTCAGGATATGCACTTGAGTGGCAGTCTCTATGATGACCTGCAGGTGGTGACAGCTGATCACATCCAACTCATCTGGAGCAGAATCTATGGTCTTGCATCCCTGTCCAGGACGTGATCATGAACATCCCTGGCTTCTTCCTTGTTCATCATGAGAACCCAGGGTACTTTCCTCATGGAATCAGTTACTGGGGCCGGTGTGTAGTAGGGAACTACCTCTCCCCAAAGACAGTGGCAGGCACATTTAAGAAGGAGGTGACTAGTTCCATCCCTGGCCAGCCATAGGCTCCGTCCTGGACTATGTGATCTGACCAGCACCACCCCCAGAGGCACTGATACTAGAAGGGTCATGTGAACAGATGAACATCTCATCGTTGCCATCCTGCCACAAGTGACTCTTGCTGACAGTCTTGGTGGCCAGACCACACCCGCTAGACCAGTGTGTGAACCTGGTGCCTGAGCCCATGTCCAACCGAAACAGCACTCCTGTGGGCTTTGGACCAGGCAGACAGGCTGCCGAGCTCTGTGCCTCAGGACTTTCAAGGACATATTCAAGAACACCCCAGCTGTGGGCCACCTCACTGCCAGCCAGCTAAAAACGAGTGAAAAGAATAATGTCACAGAAGGCTATGACAGGCTACCTGAGTGAAAGGACATTATGACTATACCATGGATCCATGAAAAATGACTTTTATTGGTAATAAAATCATTATTCCGAAAACTAATCAATTTCACATGAGGTTTAAGTTTGGGTATTTTTTTAGGGTTTTTTTTTCCTCAATTTTCCATATTATGGTAAAGCTGAGCCTGGTGACATACACCTGTAAGCCCAGCACTCTGGAGGTTGAGGCAGGGGGAATCACTGCAAGTTCAGCACCAATCTGGGCTACATAGTGAGCTCAAGGCCACCCTGAACTTCATAGTGAGACCCTGTTTCCAAAAAAAAGTGTTTTCTTTCAATACTAGTCAGCTAAACATAGCACTGAAAATGAACAGGAATACGAAATTAACTTTACCTTGGCAAAAATGATCTCTTTTATGACACAGTGCTTGCTGTCTGACTTCCCTTTAGCCAAGTAGGCTTTTCCAAAGGCACCTTCCCCAATGACTTTAATCACATCAAATTTATCCATGATCTCCAGCGCTGAGGTTCCTAGAATTAGAGGATGCTAGTTACTGCTAACTAACAACTAACAAGCAGAAAACGAATGACTGAAAAGTAAAGGAACTCACTCGGCTTAAATTTCTCTTCCGGCCTTCCCAAGACAGGGACAAATAACTTCCTTGTGACCACAGGTAACAAGAGATTCAGCCTGGTGGGCTCCAAGGTTCAGGCTTCAGCTGTGCCTCAGTTTGACTCACTTTAGCAGGTGACCCTGCACACAAACCTCGCAAAAACTTCAGTATCCTAAAATAGAAATGGCAGTACCTGCATTGCAAGTGCTTCAGAGAGGCAATTTATTATGTTCACGTTGCCTGGCACCTCACATCCGCCCCTCCTTGGTGCGGAAGTAACTGCCCTGTAGGCTGCAGTCTGGAAATTTATAGAGTTTTCAGTTCTCCCCACAGATTCAGAGTCATTACAGAATCTAGCAACGGTCAGAGTCTGGGACACTACTGCGTCCACGTGGAGGCCGGTCCCACACAATAAAGATTATCCGTGGCCCCCCACAACCTAGGAAAGTCACCCGTGCATGTTCATGCGTGTAAGAATCCATAATTATCTGTGACTGCGACCAAACTCTATTTTACACCTAGACACACACACACACACACACACACACACTTTCCTAGGAATTAAGGCTTAGTTGCACTTTAGAACTCTACCAAGGATTGCTCACCAATTTGGGAAATCACGCCGTCAGTGTCGGACTGCACTGGAGGTCACCACTTTCAAGCGCCCAAGTAAGGGCATCTGGCTACTTTAGGACCTTCTCGCAGATAGTAGTGCCAAACATTTACGAATGGAAATACACTTTATTACAAATTGCCTCTATTTTACTTCCCCTGTATGCTACCTTTAGGGCATAAGGCAGGTTTTAAAAACTTGGGTGAGCAAGCTAGTTGTTTCCAATCGTTTCACGTCATGGTAGGAAGTGGGTACAACTGCATGGCTAGGGGAGGCTGCGGAAACCCGAAGACCCAGCTGCGAGCGAGGCGAGTTGGGAACCCTCCATCCCAGCACTGAGGGCGCGCCACCCTGCCGCCAAGGGGCATCAGGCGGTGGAAGCCTTTGGACTTGGGCGAGATTGCGCGCAGAGCCGGCGTCTCTCCAGTGTTGCTGGCTTCCAGCGCGTTGCCATGGAGAGCGAAGCAGCCCGGGACACAAAGCTGTTCCCCGCCACCCTGGCTCCCTCTGCCAGAAATCCACCCATTTGCCCCGCGGCTCCCGGAGCCCTGGGGCAGCTTCAGGTGAGGATGAAGCGCAGCTAGCCCGCACCGTACCTGTCCGGCGGGGCCGGAGGAGCTTCACGGCCGAGTCAGGTTCCCGGGGCAGCGCCATGGAGAGCGAAGCAGCCCGGGACACAAAGCTGTTCCCCGCCACCCTGGCTCCCTCTGCCAGAAATCCACCCATTTGCCCCGCGGCTCCCGGAGCCCTGGGGCAGCTTCAGGTGAGGATGAAGCGCAGCTAGCCCGCACCGTACCTGTCCGGCGGGGCCGGAGGAGCTTCACGGCCGAGTCAGGTTCCCGGGGCAGCGCTGGACCTCCCGGAGAGGCCGGTCAGCAGAGGTCACTTGTCTCCCGTGATTCCTTTGCATAGCACGCAACCAGCACGCAGCCCCTGCCGTTTATGAGACCTCACATACCTTTTTCTTTATTAATAATTTCCAACTGTCCAAGGATTTTTTTCCCCCCTGTGGTATAATTATTTTTTTAATTCTTTGGGGAAGACAACCAGCAGCGGAATAGCTGGATCTATCCAGATTTAAGACTCCGTTTTGCACGTGAGCTAAGCAGAGATTGGACTCGTGTTTCTTGTGGTGGTGAGGCTGAGAATCAAACCCAGGACCTTCGTTTGAGTCAAACCCTTGCTCTACCAGTGGAGAAGTCGCGCTTCTTGTGCAAGGTCCCACTATTGCCAAGCCCCGTGAGACTGAACCTTGGGGACAAACCAAGTTTTCTCCTGAGGCCTCTTAATCGCAGCGGTCAGCAAACCCCTACCTCGCTCTACACCAGGCCCCACCCCCATTGATTCATCAATTCCGTCCAAAGTCACTTAAATTTCCTTTTGGGCGTAGGCAGCTGAAAAGTGACTTTCCTCAGGGGTAAACACGGAATAAAAGCCACACCCAACGCAATCTAAATACCTCGCCACTGGATACCCACAATTGTTGGCCCTACCCCTAAGAATCAGAAAGTGTACATTTATACTTTTTCTCTTTGAAATCAAACCCCTGTTCCACTTTCCTGAGTTTTATCCCAATTCAATCCATTTCATGCCTGAAAGTCACTGATGACCCTATCATATTGCTCTTTAAACAGTATATAAATGGAAGTGAGATTCTATTTCCTTGATAGGTCTGAACCCTGTCAGCACCCCCCACTCCGCCCCCAGTGCCTGAGCGCTGAGAACAATCACAGCCCCTTCCTACACCCTCCCCACAACTCCAGCCTGGGAACAGCGACCACTCTACTAGGACAGACACACCTGCCCCACCTTCTACGCCACAGCCCATTGCTTCAGCCAGGTACTCAGCCATTCTCTCTCTCCCAGGCTCATGCGCCCCATCACCCCACATAAACCCGCCCCACTAACGCCCCAACCCTAAATATAAAAGAACCAGCTCAATGAACGGGACTCCAACTCTCTTGGAATTACTCCAGGAAGTCCCGCCTGAAACCCCCAAATTCAGTCTGGCTGCGTTCTTTACTGGGTCTCACCGGTTACCTAATATTCCTGATCATAGGATCTTACTTTTATTGGACTGAAAAATTAAAGCTGCTAGTAACACACGATTGATCAAAATAAAATATATCACAATATTGGCAGATACTTGTTAAATATAGTAAGTAAAATTATTTTGGATATCCACTGCTAAAATAAGCAGTGGGCTCCTTATGTCTCATTAGTTCATGTAGCCATAGACGAATGCTAACTTTTGCCAGAATAAAGTTCTTTTCTATTTTTCTTTCTTTTATCCAAATAATAGAAACGGGAGTTTTGTTAAAAGTGTCCAATTTTTGTATAGTTGTATGTTAAGAATCATATAGTACTTTATCACAAAAAATGGTTTATATAAAAGTGTAAATAAGATCCAAATTGTATAACTGATGATGTGAAACAGGAAGAAAAGGGCTAAAGGAGTAGGGGAAGTGGGAAGGGTAGGGGAAAGGAAATAAGGGAAAAGAAAAACTATGAGAAAAGGAAGAAAGGGAAACAAAGTTTGTGTAAATAGGGGAGGGTTGGGAGGTGAAGGGGCAGGGACAAGGGGAAAAAATGAGAACCAAGACCTGTCATGTAAACATACAAGATCCCAATGATGAATGTAACTGTACTGCATACTTTAAAAGTACCAATAAACTCAATTTAAAAAATGTTTATAATTAGCTGGTAATTCCAGAGTCTCCTGAAGTATTATTAAAAGCAAAATGCTACAAATCATCTGATTTTCAAAATATTTTTGTTTTCAGTGCTGGGTATGGAACCCAGACCTCGAGCATCTCCACAAGTTCTCTACCATCCAGGATTCATTCGGCATCTCCATAATAATGCATACACAATTCCAAGTTCACTTTGTTTGATGGTTTGGAAATATTTATACCCTGGGGGATTCTGGATTTTTTTGCTGGTTTGGTTTTTGTTTTTTTGAGACAGTGTCTCCTTATGTAGCCCAGGCTGGTCTAAAGCTTCAGACTCCTGTCTCAGCTTCTGTCTGTGCTAGGATTAGAGGTGTGTGCCCAGCGGGCACCATCTTCTTGGAGTGCCAGAAAGGGAGTGTTCAGCCTGGCGTGGGGTACACATAGCACTCGGGAGGCAGACAGAAGCCTGTTGAGTGAGGAGAATATTCTCACCTCGCCGAAGTACCACAGTATTAAACGAGGACCTAGCATGTGTGCACATACACAGTTACCCACACGTGCTTTGATCCTCCCGTTTATCCCACACCACTTTCTGCTTTCTGACACCTGCCAGGTGGATCTCACTGTGGCCTTGCTCCTCTCTCCAGTGCAGGACCGACTGCCGTCTGACAAGATCTAGAGCTGACCCACTCTCACCATGGGGATCCTCCGACCTGGGTGTGCTCTTTTGTGCATCCTGTGAGGGGCTGCGTTTATGGACAGCTAGTAATTGGTAAAGGTCACTGGCAATGACCTATGTCTTACAGAAACACTGCACACAATATCCTGTTATGATTAAATGTATTTAGACCTTCAACTCCTTAGGGAAAATAAAGTATTATTCAGTAATAAGCACAAATCCTGGCAGACTAGCAGACTAGTAACATGGGCTGCTATAATTGCTATAATATTTTTTCAGTGTCCCTAGAAGGTAGGCATTATAAATCTTTATTTTATAGGCGAGGAGTCAAATCACATCCTAAAGTCAAAGTTAGTGGCAGAGCTAGCACCCAGCCTCTGATCTATCAGACTGTAAAGCTTGAAGCCCAAACCCATCTATTTGCTATACCTTTTCCAGTGTGTTATAAAATCTCATAGCAATTCTAGATTTGTTATTTGTTTTTTGAGACAAAAGTCTCACTGTGTAGTTCAGGCTGGCTTTGAACTCACTACATAGTCCAGGCTGCTCTCAAACTCATGGCAATCTTCCTGCCTCAGACTCCTGAGTGCTGGGATTAAAGGTGTGCACCACCATGCCCAGGCAGGAATTCTAGATTTTTTTTCCCCCTGGTACCAGGGATTGAACTTGGGACCTTCGCTTGCCAGGTAGGCGTGGCACCACTGAACTACATCCCTGGCTCAATTCTAGATTTGTTAAAAACTCAGTCATACTAGTGAAGAAGAATTTTAAATATTAACAGTTTCTCCGTCTTCACTCTGTTTCCAAACATGAGTTCCTCACTTGAAACGTCCTCCCCACATGACACAGGCACTATCCATCACCCACGCCCTGCCATCCAACTCGCTTCTTCAGTTCTGACACCCAATCCTGGCTCTCGTCATCTTCTTCAAAGTCCCTGTGAAAAAAGTTTGGGTAAGTCTCTATATTAGGGGCACAGCAGGTATTTGTTGATGCATTCAAAGCAGAACACTGCCATAACAATATCAAAAGTTTTGAAAAATGAGTACCACAAGGCAACTGAACAGAGAAAATATTATTATATAGTTCTTCTAAAAGATCACTTATTTCACTGTTTCTAAATATTTTTTCAGGGCCAGGGATTTAGCTCAGTGGTTCCGCTGCCTGCCTTGCAAGTACAAAGACCCGAGTTCAATCCCTGGTACCAAAAAAAAAAAAAAAAAAAAAAACCAAAATATTTTT